TACCTGACCCTACAACTAACCTAAACTCAATTCACACCTTGGTCCGAAACCCAACCCCCAACCCACCAATGGCATTTAAACCAAATGGGGACTCGACTTTTGTCCTCAAATGTCACCAGAAACAACCCCGCCAAACTGAGGTCTTTGTATTGACTTCCATTCATTTTTGTAGCTGCATTTATGCCTAACCCAGATATTTTCCTTAAAACTAACCATTACTGGTCTATTCATAACCCTAACTATTACTATATTCCTAACCTAAACCATTGCTTGTCTTTTCCTAACTCTAACTATTTCTAGTCTGTTCTTAACCGTAACAATTACTRGTCTATTCCTAAGCTGAACCAAAAACCTAATTCACACCATACATCTAAAACTAACCAGTAGAGCGCAGTAAAGCAGCAAAAAAAGAGGATCTTCTCACTTCCCAAAAATGTCCTCACTTTGCTGGTTAAAACCACGACAGTCCTCACTCTGTAGCAGAAACGAGTACACACACACTGACACACACACAGAGGCAGACACACACAGGCAGTAATTACACCCACTGTGATCAGCTTTCACTGCTCTTAAGAAACTGTATTTGTTGTGGGAACTAGCTGCCTAAAGCCCAAATCTCTGAAGGTCACATGGTGTTTGTTCAGGCTCGTAGGCCTGATAATTAAAACCTCTTCACACATAAACACTCAGTGTCAACAGCACTGATAGATCATCTCCTTCCAGTCTTGTTGCACCTGTTGGGACATCATATGGAACATCACTATTGTTGACATCACGCAAGCAGCGTTCTTGTCAACCCAGAATYGTACGAAACACATGTTGTGAATTTTAAAGCTGATAATTATGCAGTGTGATCCTTGTTGTGTGTTTTTCCTCCTCAGTTAAAACACCACTGACAGAGAACAGCAGGTGACAACAACACAATYCTATCCTGCTGGCCAAAAAGCATCAGCGACAGAGAAAGTTACAATTAATGACATCTTTAAATCTAACGTCATGAGAACTGAATGGATCTCAGAATTTAATGAAAACATCAGAAAATACTTCAAACTGAACCACAGCTTGTATCAGTATCACCTGTAGTTCTGCTTATTCTTATTTTGTAGTATTTTATAAAATTTTAATTTGTTTTTCAGATGCAAACACAATGCCCCAACCTCACCTGACATTTTGTTACATAACTCAGATGTGCTGCATTCAGCGTGGCGCCTTCAAATCCCCAACACCTCCCACAGACCCAGCTGTGGCATCGAGTATCAGACAACCACCAGTCGCTTTCAAAATAAAGGTCAGGAGAGTGGAGCGGATCACTGGTGGAAAACTGTCCGAGTCAGCCAAACGGGTCACAACCCAGCAACTTTAGGCGGTGCAGGGGTCATTTACAGTGAAGTGAAAAGTCTGACAGCAGTGTTTTTATTTTGTTTGTATAAAAAATGATATTTCGTGGGTAAATTAATAAATATAAACCCCAGTCTGAGTGTAGCTGACTGCCTTTACACTGGAGGAAGTTTTCTAAATTTGCCATGATCTACGAGGTAATGCAAGTTGTGCAGAGTGTAGAGGGGTTGAAACCGTACATCTTTATTCTTGAAAACAAGAGGACATGTGGTCAGTGGAAGTTAATTACATGCATGAATGCAGCCCTTTTATAGTGCAGACAAACAAATCTGCAGTTTTTGGCTTGTGCAGTTAACTGGCAGAGAGTTTAAGATTTATTATCAGCTCAGTCTGTTTCTGAAGCTGAAATGTTACAGTCATGTTTACAAATGCAATACAATCTGTAGTTGATCACATGGCAATAATTTAAAGTCACATTCAATCAGTTAAACCCTCAGTGTGATGTCAACATGAGCGACTCCGTGGTTTTTCTGTCATTAGTATCTTCTAAGGCTGAAGCTGTTATAACGCATCAAATCCTCCTAAAATCAATATTCAATGTTAGAATCAGAGTCAGTACCAGACAAAAACATGATAATAAAGAACAAAAATAAATTTAAAAAATGAATATATTCTGACACTTTCCTGTTGCAAAATAATAACAAATATAACCTCCATCTCATGGATGTTAAAGTCTTACCTTGTTGTCATGCTGCTCCACAGCTGAGCTCCTGCACACAGAAAAGGCTGAGTTTTACTTTTTAGCACAGATTAAAGTAAAAATAGATCACATTTTCGTTGTCCCATTTTTTTAATTATTTCCCCAAATCAGCGTGCCTTTTTGCAATTTTTAATTTACATCCATAAAGAAAAATAAGTGTTCCTTTGTCAATGAACTTTAATGTGACTCTTTTTATCCKTCAAAGTAGTTATTTTCAACCAGCTGCCTCATTTAAATTGAACTGAAACAGACTAATGTGCAGTCAAGATGTAGGGACAATGTTTTTATAAATAATACTGATAATTTCATCATCTTTTCTGGGTTCCACTGAGCTTCATATCACTAACAGGTTGATTAAAAGGCATTTCATCACCTAAATTTCACAATAAGAGTCGTTACTCCTCCGATTAATTTAAAGCACAGGTTGAATAGTGTTGCTTCTGCTGTGGGAAATGTATTTTTATCCCAGACCATAAGAGCAGATCAATTTAAACAGATGTACATTAGTGATAAGAGACATCTGTGATTGTTTAGCCCAGTGAGTGTCAAATTACGCTGTGTCATCCTGACTCATCAAGATGCTCCGATGAAAATGTTATTTATTTTGTATGTTGTGACTTCCACAKATGTCGCTACGCTACTACAAATTAACCAAGTTCTCTACTGATCAGATTAAACAGTTAGGTTTCCCTCAGACAGGAGGATACAGACCCAGCATCCAATCACATTTCTGATAATTAGACTCAACTTGTTCATTTTTCGTTGATGTTTTTGCATTTGATTTGGTTATCGTGGCAGGAACAAATCATATCGTTACACTGCCTCGTTAGTTTGAGATTTGTTTGCATGTTACCCGAAAATCTGGTCCAAATAACATCTCTGGCCGTTATTATGATGACTAGGAGAGCGAGCAGRACGGCCAGGAGGCTGTAGACCCGACAGGAGCTGAAGGCAACAAACCTGCAGAGACACARAACCAGTTCAGTTCATCTCACAGGAGTTTCTTTAGTTTGTCGTGACGATTATTAAAGTGATGCGTTAAAGGGCCTGTGACATCAAATTTTTATAATAAATGTGGATGCGTTTTTCGAAAGACAACATTGATAACATATTTTAAAACAAATTTCACGCCATTGAGATGAACAGTTGTTGAGATATTTGCATGTGAAGAAACAGGAAGTGATGTCAAAGGGGAATGTCTGCATGTAAACAGAGCGATGCGGCAATATTAGAGAAGAATCTGATGTTTCTTTAGATTATTTTGAGTCACTATCAGAGCTGAAGATGAGTTTAAATAAGATTGTTTCAATAAACAAAGACTAGAAAGTTTCTTTTCTTAAAGAGTTCCCCTTTGATGTCACTTCCTGTTTCACTTTGYTGAACCAAATTCAAGAAAAAATAYGCCAGTTGTGAGACAAAATGGGTAAAATCCTGTGTATTTTGCTAATTTTCTTAAATATAAATATTTTTTCTTTGACTTTTTGTATTTGAAGGGTACAGGCCTGTTAAAGGTTTAATGCACTTAGGGGTCTGATTCATTAGAAAGGTTCAAGCAATCCATGCATTCATTAAGTATTTTATTTAAAAATGTGTTTTAATTTACTAAATTTAACAAATTATTTATCCTCTTCAGAAAAGTTAGTCTTCTTTTCATCACTTCACGAATCAAACGAATGGGATGCAGATTTTAAAATGTTATAATAAAATACTTTAATAAACATAAACTTATTTTTTATTTGGTGTTTTTGTTTTAACGTTACTTTGAATTAAATTAAATTATGTGTAAATAGGGATACAAATCACATTATTCATTAAAATATGGACAGGATTTATCATCAGTAAATATAAACAAGCAAACATAAACATTGATGAAAAGTCAGCATTTTTAGGAGATAGTTTACAAAATTAATTGTATTTGACTTAATATTTCTATACAAAATTTCAATATACTGTAACACTAATTACAACAGTTTATTTGTTTTAAAGCCATAATTGCAATTCAAACTGGAAGAAAAATCTTTTCAAACATTGCTCAGAATAAAACCATTAAATGTTCAGATCTGGGAGGAATAATTGAGGGAAGCTGGTTGTTTATTTTTACATGTTTCTCCAGGTAATGACTGATGCAGGAGGTCAGAGGTGTCACAGATATCCCTGCGTCATGATGCTCACCAGATCACCGTGTTGGCTGCAGCGAACAGGGCTGAGGTCCTGCACGGTCTCCGCTTCCAGCTCACCAGGCCGGACAGATGAGGTCCCGCGCGGCCGGGGGGCTTCTCCTCCCCGGGGTGGGTCCGGTTCGCGATCGCCTCCCCTGCTTCCCGGCTCCCCAGCATTGCTAAACGGATCCCTCAGCTCTACCGCTCCTCTCCACCAAAACAAATACATCAATTCACGTCAACCATACCCGTTTCCGGCTTAGCGTTTTCAAAATAAAACCCACAAAATAAAAACAGAAAACATTTACATTCGTAATTCCAATCACTAAAAAAAAAAAAAAAAAAAAAAAAAATTAAATGTGAGATTTTCTGAAAATTATGAAACTGATTGTAAAAGCTTAAATAAGCTAAAGCAAGTTAAATGTAGTAAAATATTAGTTAAAATATCAAAAACTAGAGAAGCAAGCTTGTTAAAAACATACATTTGTCCTTAAAAGTAGCAAAATTGAGGTTAAAAGCTAACAGTAGCAAAATATAAGCTGAATGCTAAAAATTATATAAGAAGACAATACATAGTAGTATGTAGTATTATGTTGAAGCAGATTTAAATTAGTTAAACTATTTGAAGAGATATTAACTTAATTCTGTTGGAGAAATGTTTGCAAATAAAGTTCAAAAACTTCAACATAATGAAATGGTGCTTCAGATTTTATTGTGAAAGGGAAATAGCCACACTTCCTGTTTTAGTCCAAGCTTTCTTGCAGCTGCAGACTTTAACGGCTTTTTGTGTTGTTGTGTTTCWGCACAGTGACGTCATGGTTTTGTGTCTTGTAAGTGCATTTTATTAGGCTATAACTGCCTTCATTTGTGCTTAATTATAATATTGTAATAACTGGCTAAGAGTGACTAAAAGGAAAATAAATGTACACTTAAGTTAAGGAACTACCCATGAATAAATGTTTAATAAAAATGCATGGATCAAAGATGGAAACAATCAGTGGAATATATATATANCAGGTAAATAGCTGCACTATCTGTCACAAATCATCTTAAGACAACCTTTGAGATATGTGTTGCTTTTGCTCATTTTTATTTATTTATTTTTGATCAGTCAGACAGAAGAATTTTTACATAGAGAGAATAACAAACTGGACCACACAAGAACAGTCAACAGAACTCATTTCGGAGGAGTCAACAGAAACTTGCTGCTACAAACAGATTCTGGCCCATTTTTTCCCCAGTGTGACCTGAACAGTTTAGGCTTTGAGCCAAGATCAAATCGTGGCCAAACGGTGGATTGCAACAATGACCTGCTCTACTTTCTACCATTTCAGACTTATAAACATCCAGTTAATCTTGTTTTTCAAGGCACTGAATTTATACTGATGGTGAAGGGGGTTTAAGAAAACAAAACTTAAATTTATTCAAAAAGAATAAAACACGTTTTGGCAAATGAAAGCAACAAATGTTAATTGAGAAAATGAGTTGGCAAGTTGTAAATTAATGCTCATTTGATTGTCTTGTTCTTTATCTCAGTGTAAAGGGTTAAATGAACTCAGGCACAAGTCTGCTTGATAAGATTTTGAATATAATCAGACCTTAATTCAGGATTTAGTTTTTATCCTTGGTCAAACCCTGACCTGGGTTAGAGAAACACTTGTGTTTAATCTGTGAAACTCAAATGCTCCACAATGTGCTGAAATCCAGAATAAATCTCCGAAAAGAGGTGAGAAGCTGCAGATACAACTATTAATTATCTGCAAGTAAAGTTTTTTCTAGTTTAGTTGGCTGTATTTAAGAGAGAGTATAGAAATTACTGAATAAAATGTTGTAAAAATTGACTCACATGACATGTTTTTGCCATCTCTTTTTATTTTTTAATGATATTTAATATGCACAAACTAATTTATTGTGTACATACAGTAGCAACATATGCTGTTCTGCTGTTGAAGTCATGGTTTTTTCAGAGCTCTGCAAGTGTTAAAGAGGCTTCTTTGTGCACGTCTCTGTGTGTTCATCAGTCACTAATTGGACTGAATTTTACAGAGCAACAAAAGATCGGACTCGAAAATTCCAGCTCGGGTCTGCACAGGCTCTGCTTTGTTGTCCTTTGGCCGCTGTTTGCTGTGTTAACATTTATCTCTTCCTCTCTGGTGAAAGCCACGGTCACCCCAACTGCTCGGAGGCAGGCGGACCACAGAAGACAGAACCTGCCAGGGGCTTCTTCCATCCACTTCGAACCCACTCTCTGATACACAGCAGAAGCCCGACGGGTACCCACAATGCACTCTACACTTCCAGTGAAGTGGAAACGTGTCGCCACCTCTACCCATGGGAAACTTTTTGTGCTCCTGCAAGCTGAGCAGACATCTGAGATTTTGGTTGGACTTTTCCGCTGATCTCGAAGGAGGATCAAGATGATGATTGAGCAGCCAAACCTGGAGGATGTTAGTGACTGCGTGGAGAAACTGAGCTCTGAGGAGATGGAGTGTAAGATCTGCTACTCTGCGTACAACCTGGGGAGCTGCAGGCCAAAGGTGCTCGAGTGCTGCCACCGTTTGTGTTCAAGGTGCCTCGTTAAGATCCTGGACCTGCGTGAGTCACCTTCCAACGTCTTGGTGTGTCCATTCTGTCGGTACGTCACCAAACTGCCCCGAGAGGCTGTGATCAATCTGCCGGATGAYAGTAATCTGATGGCATCGCTGGCCTTTCAGAACCAGAGGAACCTGCGCTTCCGTCAGGACTCTACAGCCGAGCTGCTCCTCAACCCCAGACACCTGAGCTCACTGACAGGTGGCAACACGTCCCCCATGTACACCTCCTCCTCCACCCCGTACTCCACCATCCGGAGCTCCCCCAACTTTGTAGTCATCACTATCGTGGAGCCTCCGCCTGCATCAGCAACCACCCAGGATCTCCAGGCGTCGAACCAGARCTCCTCCAGTCTGGACTCGTTGGCCTCCATCTCCCAGAGGTGGACGGTGTGGAACTGTGTGGCCCTGCTGTGCCACACCTCGGCCCGGGCTCTGGTGTGGGTGCTGGGGCTCCTGTACTTCAGCTCGCTGCCGATGGGGGTCTACCTGCTCATCATGAAGAGGACCACAGCCGGGGTGCTGCTGGTGAGCGTGGTGCCAGCCAGCCTCGTCCTGATCATGCTTTTTGGGTTCTGCCAGTGTATTTGTTATGAGTTCTGGCAYCGCGTGCCGTCGTAATGAGAAATGGACAGCTTGCTTTGAAAAGATCTCAAGAGTTTACTAACAGGAAATGTTTCTGTGCAACAAACCATGTGGAGGAACAGAAAACAGCTCGTTTTTAGTGGTGAAAAAAGCAAAAACTTTATAAATTCTGCTCAGAATTTGAGGCTTGTTGTTGTTATTCATGTTTTTGTTTTACAACCAGCTTTTTACCTGATGCAGAAATGTAAAAGATGCCATTTTCAACACATTTGAGTTTRTCTAACAGTTATGACTGCATCAAAAACCTAAAGAAATAAAGTTTCAGAGCTCTGCACAAGCTGCAGGATTCTGTCAAATCTGGGGCACAAATATGTTTTCCATCAGTGACAGAATCAAACGAAAATATCACAAACATAAAAACACATCTAATAATGAAGGAAAACAGTTCATGTATATGAATCTGAAGATGTTGTGAGATCTGTTTTTTTTAATTTTTTTTTTTTATTGTTGGCCTCTGCATGAGAAAAAACACTGACAAAGCTTTACAACATTTACTGGTTTGTTTTAAAGAACATCACTGAAATAAACACATTGTTTAAATAAAAAATTAGAATAAATGAAAGTTTTTTTCTTATATTTACTGTGATATTTCTGCACCTCAGGTATGCTAGATATTCCATGCAAAGAACCTTAAATTTATTGGTTGATAACGTTGTTCTACAGAAAGAAAATAAAATGAAAAGAATAAATTCAGTGGCYTATTTGAGAGAAAGCAACAGAAATGTGTCAGTTTGTGCAGCCTGATGAAGCAGATTTATTTGGATTATCTCGTCATGTTCACCTGTGCTAGTAACTTTTATTCAACCTGATTATGAACTTTAGCCACCAGAGGGCGCTGAAACCATCCATCCTCTTTTTATCTTTCCCAGAACAGGTTTTAAACATCTCCACTGCTTAAATATACAAAACTCTGCATCCTTGCTAAAAGAAATTGTGATGCTTTAATCTTGCTTGTCTATTAGTTAAATCAGAAATTTTGCTTTAACATTAAGATGTGTTTGGTGGATAAAGAACCATGAAACTCAGACAGAACTCCCCTTCTTCAGCCCAGATTGTTTCATTAGATGATGATTTATCAGACATTTGAATGTGCTCAAATTTGCTGGACATTAATTACTATGAGACCAAAAGTCCTATAAATTAAAGCCGTTTTCCAAGATTTGTGTATTATTTAATGCAGAAACTCAAGCTTACTGCTTTTTGTTCAGTCCTTAACCTGATCTTGACAGCATGCTGTGACAAAAGATGCACCAGATTCAAAAAAGCAGGAGTAATGTCTAATAAAAATGCTAAAAGATAATAAAAGTGATGTTTTTCAAATGATAAACCCGGACAGAAATGTTGCACACTGACAGCCTTGGACTCCAAACCAGTTCTTTATTTTATCTGGGTGCTTTCCCAGCATTAAAGGCAACTCCTGTGCCAAAGTGAATAACGGGGGAAATTTATTGCTTAATTTTTAACTTTTTAAACTACATCAAAAACAAATATAATGTTGGAAGAAATGCACTTATTCTTTTTTTATTTCATGTAATGTTTGTAGAGATAAATAAAGAAAAAAATCACATTTTTTTAATTAAGGAAATCAGTTTTATTTGCAGTATTCTTAATGCAATAGCACAAAAATATTATTGTTATCAGTGAGTAAAGTGTTCCATCCATGGCTTTAAAAGGACATCAGCATCAGCCTAATATTTACACATTTGATCCTCAGTGCTTTATGAGTTTTCCAAGTGGAGTAGAAAACAAACACGGAGGAGCCGTAGAACAATTTGTCTCTCTTTGCTTCCACAACTCACATCTCACAGATGATAAACAGTCCAGGCTTTCTACCATTTCTGTTTTCCAGGGGTCTTGATCTAAATCCGAGCAAATGCTTCCCCACAGGGAGGGAAACATTGCAGCAGATTCCTTTTTAGTGATGGAATGAACATTCCCACATGCTGGTGTGAGGAACGTTCACAGGCTGCAGATAGCAAACGGAAACACAAAACAAAATGAAAATAACTTGCTTCTGCTTCTGTGTTTTACTATAACTCAGGTCAGTAGGACAAATAATGATGGTTTACAGAAGGGTTTACTCAATATAAAGTGTAATAACACATTAAATATCCATTTATGTGTTACAGCAGCTCAGGTCCAGTTGTGTCGTAACAAATTTTCCACTGAGCTTTATCTGTAAAACCACATGAAAGAACGATTCTTTTGTTTCAAACATTTGTCCATCCTGTTCAGATGTTAGCCTGTTTCATTAATGTTTGTTGAACTGTTAGCTGGAAAAATAACATTCACTTTAGGTGTTTTTCTTAAATGTACGGAAGAGGATTAGGGCCACTGAAAAAATAAAAAAAGGAATTCTGACATTAATCTTAGAATTCTGACTGTTTTTCTCAGAATAAGTAAGTAAGTAAGTAAGTAAGTAAGTAAGTAAGTAAGTAAGTAAGTAAGTAAGTAAGTAAGTAAGTAAGT